ATGTAGCTGATTCCCTGAAACTGAAGGGGACACATCTCCGTTTATGCGGGCAAAGTATGTGCACATGCAGTGCTGCAAGTCAGTTATGAAACTCTCCAGTCAGCATGAGGAGCAGCTAAACTACGCTTTGATTAAATGAATGGATTTCACACATTGTTGTTTTTAATCCATTCAGCTACATGGATTATGCTATCAAACAGTATTCCTTATCTTTCAAATGCAATATACATGCAGTACCCTCTAAAAGACATATATATTTAATTCTGTATTGCTTTCCAGTTCCATCTGCGTCAGGTTGTCGAGTTTCCACACAGGACACTTATATAAACACATCTATTGTTTGACTGTTTAAAGGCCCAGCCTATTATTGGTGTACAGTATCAGTACAGTATGTACATTCTTCAATTACATAGTTAGAAAGTAACAACTTACTCAAGCACTGTTGCACTGTAATAAAAAAAAAAAATTATAAATACTGAATCCCTGTTAAGTAATACTAAGACTCTACTGTCATGCTAGCAGCTCTGTTAGGCACAGTGTTGTTTGGAGATAAATCTAATTAATGGTTGGACCAAAGTGGCGGACAGACCGACATTGTTATCTCGAGAGCAATGACAAACAGGATGTATGTGACAGGACGCTGGATCAAAAAACAGACTAAAAGGCAAAAGTCAGACAAAGAGCTGCACACTGCACTGGAAGCTCCCGGAAAATTGAATTTTAACAGAGCGGCGTTTCAGTCTAACAGAGAACTTTGTGAAACAGACATCACAAAGAGGAACAAGCACAGACAAACAAATTTGTCGCTCAGGAGGTTGTGATCTGCATGACTGAGAGTGAATCTACTCTAGTGAGGAACCAATCAGAACAGAGCTGGACAACACTGCCAGATACTCGACATCAAAGTATCAGATTATTTTGGTCAAAAGATAGAAAAATGCATTAAATGTTAAATATAATTCAGTACATTGTATATGTTTTGTCTATATGGAAAGGGCAAAAATAATACATTAATCAATTCAATTTTCAGGGGGCTATCAATGCATTGCGCAAATCTTTTTTCTCCTACCATCCTTCTTTCCCTCTCCCTTTTTTCCTTTCTCTTTTGCGTCCTTCCTTCTTTTCTTCCTGTCTCTTTTCAACTGATTTGAAAGCATGAAATTGCAGATTTCACCCAACGGGAAAAACCTAAACTGCACTCTTCTTCATGAGTACTTTTCTCCTTCCTCTTCTCTTCCTTCCTCCCCTTCTTCCTTTCTCTCTTGAGAAAACCTACTGCGGTTCACAATGACTGCTTTTACTCTGCATTGCTGGCATTTGTTCACTTTTACTGATGTAAAATTTCAATGCAGGACTTTTACTTGTGGTTAAGTGTAGTGCCAGTGCGGTATTGCTGCACATATTTAAGGAAGGGATTGCAGTACGTCTCCCACCACTGTCGACTACAGCTGGAATGCAAAGTATGTGAACTTTGATAGCTCTGATAATCAAGGAATTTGTGTTTAAAAACCAGTCTGTCTCTCTATTGCAACAGACAACTTTTTGTTATTTTATGAATTTAGAGTCCATCTATACTTAATCTATTTACAGAATTCACAATACTAAAAAACTTAGTATTGTAATCATTCAAGTGCCATAGGGTTATTTCTGGCATTTAGGCTGTGTGCATTTGGCTACAGCGGCTTGGGATTTTGTGTGACCGCTAGAAATTAATACTTTGGCAACCACTCAAGATTACATGGTGATCTTGAATCTCCTGAGCTAGTTTCAAATCAGATCAGAGCAGAATCACTGGGAAAACAGCAAAAAATGTTGATCCCCTCACAGAGCCAAATTCAGTTATGAGGGCAGTGCTGACTCCGCCCTCGGCAAGAGTCAAGAGGACACTGAACTAAAAACAGATCGTTTTCCCCAAATAAAGAGGTGACTGGCAAAACAACTGAACAAGGTCCACTCAGCCTGAAATGTGTTCACACTGACTGTTTGTGTTTGTGTCATCTGTAACCCTTCCTGTGTCACTGTCTGCATGGCTGTGTGTGTGTGTGTGTGAGAGAGAGAGAGAGAGAGAGAGAGAGAGAGAGAGAGAGAGAGAAAGAGAGAGAGAGCACAGCAGTCTCTTGGGTGAACCAGAATCCAATGCAGAGTTCCAGCCTTCATGACTCTGCCTAAGCTTTCCAGTTACAGTATGTTCACTGAGGGAAATAAATGTGATTATCAAAGCTGTTCTCTCACTAATGTGATGTAACGTTTAGTCTAAAAATAGAAAAATTTTGAGCCGCTTTCTGGTTCGATTCCTAACATTTCTTGCCTGGACTTATCCCTCCCTCACCCCACCCCCCACCCCCCCACAAGCATGTGCCAACATGTAGACAGGACCCACACTTGTTACATGTAGCTAAGGGTTAATGTTACCGAAGCAGTAATGTGTTGAATATAATTAATTTAACTTTAAACCACCAAACACACTGTTCATTTCCTGTCTCTGAAACAAACCAGAGAAATCCAGCCTGTCATTTAACTCCAGAGCTTTGTTTGATGTAGATGGGTTGTCTGACATATGTCACACACCAAAGCTCTTGTCAGAGGTGAGCTAGAAAGGCTTAATTCACTGCCCGACAGTAGCAAGAAAAACTAGCATTTTCCCAGCTTCCCAGGTTTCAGTGGCCAACGTGTGTTTTCTAGTTTCCAAAAAGCACAATAAGTGTGTGTTCTGTCTACATGTTGACACACCCTCGTGGAAAGTAACAAAACAGCCGTTAGACTATGTACTGCACTTTTATAGTGTTGTTTGGATGTTTTTAAGCTTTCTTGCAGATGCGGTTTTGTGTTGTTTTGTATGTATTTGTTTCCTGCATTTTGGTAATTTTATTGTTTTTATGGACGACTAAACGGAACCTTTGGACATTTGTGATTGTATGGTGTGGACTGTTAGTTGCTGCACATGGGCCTCCGTCTTCTTCTGTTGAATTAGGTAACTCTTTTCATTGTCTTGTCTAAGTGATTTGATGTTTAATACCACTCGTGCTCTCAGACACTTTTTTATTTTTGTTTTGATGACTTGTGTTTTCCTGGTTTAAATGTCTTGTATTTTTATCTTGCAGTTAAAATGAGCTTCTACTCCGCCGGTGACTGGATGGTTAGGTGTGCGATTTGGGTTGATAAACAACACCTTTCTACAAGATACAAAGTAGTTGCCGTGTAACAGACATCGTTATTCTGTGACAAGTATAAAGAGATAATGTTGTAAATCCTATAGCAGACCTATAGCTCCTATTTACTGGAAATGTATGAGGATATGAGGACATCTACTGGCTGAAAAAGGACATGTGACACCCCAAAGAGAAAACCAACAGGGAGATCTTGTTACTTCAAGCAACATGACTCGAACTGAAGATGTCAACACACAAATCTGTGGTTCATGAATTCATTAGTTCCTGATTTCATTCATAAGTAGGCTAACCCTCTCCACCTTAAATACTATTACTCATTTCATAAAATCAATCACCATCAACTAATGTTTTTTGTTTGTTTGTTTGCAACAAATCACCAGCCTATGTTCTATTTTAAGACACAGAATGAAATAATTATAGAGGATCTGGAGATTTCATGGGTTCTTTTGCCAATTTAGTCTTCCTCCACTAGATGTCAATACTGCACTGTCTACTGTTTCAGATCTAATCATCAATCTGTAGTCTCCTGCAGAAGCTGACAAGACACTTAGTGTAATTCATTCTGAAAACAAATAGGATGAAACTAAAACAAAAAAGAGAAAAACAACATAAAACATTTTCCAATGGAATGAGATCATTCAAAACAATTTCCAATCCATTGATCCTGTTTTAAATGTATTTGTAACAGGTGCCAATATCTTGAAACAACTCAGAAAGATATATTCCAACTCCACTGTGGTACTCAATTCAAGTAAATTCTCTAAAGAGGTTGATTTGCATTTGAAATGTAATTATTTTACTCCATTAGTAGATTGATTTTCACAGAGTACAGTGAATGATGGTGACAGCTGCTGAACCTTTTCCTCACCAGTAGATGGCAGCGTCCAGCTGTGTGTAAACCCCCCACTTCATTCATCTCACGCAGGTTGAAATTGAAACAAATATGGTCTCATGAAGTTTTCTTAAAAAATGAGAGTAGCAGTGATTCTCTGGATTTAACTGCAATGATATGTATTCAACGTGAAAGTCTGCATGTGTTCAAAAGCAAGAATTGAAAAATAAAAGTTAAATGGAATACATTTTCTGCAAAAGAACAAAATGAAGATCAGACTCTGACATGGATATTTCTCTTTCAGCCACAGTTATCTCACACGGGGGGAAGGGGGGTTGGGGGGGGGGGCAGGATCCATCTTCCCGTGGATTTTGCTCTGTTACACTTCAGCAGTGTAGTGATGCGCATCTTGAACCAAAACTCACCTCCCTGATTGTCCCATAGTTCTGTGTTTGGAAACTAAGAACATTGAGGGGGGAAAAAAAACTAGGAAAAGAAAATGATTCAGTCTCATCAGTCCTGTTTTCAGTGGAGCTGTCTACGGGAGTGTAGTGCTGAAACGAAACTATTTTAACTAAATGACGGTGAAGTGTGTGTATTTCTTTGTATCAGTGTTGCTGCTGAGCTCCAGCACAAAAACTGCAGGTTTCCTTATGTTATTGAGTCCACATCTAGTCAAAAGCTCAACGTGCGCGGAATTGCAAGAATTTGTCAACGGATCCTACTTTTTCAGTTCAAACTGCTGATAACTGTCATGTAAAATTGAGAAGGTTAAGTTTAACACAAACTGAAGCAAGCATCGTCTGCTCTGTGTCGGAGCAACCGAGTGGACAGCAGTGTGCACTCGGGATTTTGTGTTTAATTAGCATAAAAGATCTGCTGGAGAGCAGCAGGACTGTGCGTCACAGCCAGAGATAGGAGGGGGGAGGGGGACACCTATGGGAGTCAACAAACTGCAGTGTGTATTCCTTCCACGGCCGACAAAAAGCGGTCCGGTTGATGTGAAATGATGACTTAGCTTCACAGCGTTACAGGTGACTGGAGACAGCTGGAAGCGTCTGGGAGCCGGAGGGGCGCAGAGCAGACGGACCTAAAACAGCGAGCGCGCTGGTGAAGCCGGCACTGCGAGCTGCAGGTGAATCCCCCAACCTGTGAGTGCTGTCCGGGACCAGCACGTCACCTGAATGACGGGATATGAGACAATGAAGCATCTAGGGACGACAGGGATAAAACGGGTCCAAGTCACGAAAGTGGAAATGCGCGTGCGATGACGGACGGCGCAAGGGACGGAGAAGAGGTAACGCAGAGGAAAGTTATCTAGCTCATTAGTAGGGCTCCCGGTGCTGGATAAGAAAAGGGAAAGAGAAGAAAAGACAGAACAAATGTGCCAAGCGTGCGTAATTCTATAAACAAATCGAGTGGGGGAAGCCGACTTCATTTTTTCATAAGATTTGAGCCAGAAAGGGAGAAAATCATGGAGCCGGAGAGGACCACAGAGGGACAAGGCACTAATTTGGCACAATCTGCCGCCTCCAAACTGTCCCAGATGAGTGAAAGAACTAAACAACTGGTAATCCAAGACCCAGAGCGGCAGAAACGGATTATTCTAGTAATAGTCTGTATAGCACTTTTGTTAGACAACATGCTTTACATGGTAATTGTGCCAATCATACCCGATTACCTTGAAGAGCTACAGAACGCAGCGGATAAAGCCCAAGAGGCTATACTGCCCACCAACTCCACTAACAGCACCATCCATAAAGCAACCAAGGGGAACTTCGACCTACAGATAGGTGTTCTTTTTGCCTCCAAGGCCATCCTGCAGCTCCTGGTGAACCCGCTAAGTGGCACGTTTATAGACAGGGTCGGGTATGATATCCCGCTCTTCATCGGACTCAATGTCATGTTTCTCTCCACTCTTACATTTGCCTTCGCTGAGAACTACGCGACCCTGTTCCTGGCGCGCAGCATGCAGGGCCTCGGCTCGGCTTTCGCGGACACTTCAGGGATCGCCCTGATCGCAGACAAGTACTCAGAGGAGGCAGAGAGGAGCAAGGCGTTGGGTATTGCCTTGGCCTTCATCTCTTTTGGAAGTCTTGTGGCGCCCCCATTTGGAGGGGTCCTCTATGAGTTCGCAGGGAAGCGTGTGCCCTTCCTGATTCTGGCCTGTATCTGTCTCGCTGATGGTGTATTGTGTCTGACTGTGCTGAAACCCTTCTCAAACCGAGAGAGAGAAAACATGCCAGTGGGAACCCCCATATATAAACTGATGATTGATCCTTACATAGCTGTAGTGGCTGGTGCTCTGACTATTTGTAACATTCCCCTCGCCTTCCTTGAGCCCACTATCGCCAACTGGATGGAGGAAAACATGCATTCCAGCCAGTGGGAAATCGGCATGACATGGTTCCCTGCATTCTTCCCCCATGTTTTAGGTGTATATCTCACTGTCAAATTGGCAGCCAAGTACCCTCATCTCCAGTGGTTTTACGGGGCTATAGGCATGGTGTTCATAGGCGCGAGCTCCTGCACAGTGCCAGCCTGTAAAAACTTTGGACAGCTCATGATCCCGCTGTGCGGTATTTGCTTTGGCATCGCCTTTGTGGACACAGCGCTCCTGCCAACACTGGGTTTCCTGGTGGACGTGCGACATGTGTCAGTGTATGGCAGTGTGTACGCCATCGCAGACATCTCTTACTGCGTGGCCTATGCCCTGGGGCCCGTGGTGGCTGGGCAGATTGTGCACGACCTGGGCTTTGTTCAGCTCAACTTAGGCATGGGCCTGGCCAATGTACTTTACGCACCGGCGCTCCTTCTGCTGAAAAACGTGACACAGATGAAGCCTTCTTTCTCCGAGCGAAATATGCTGCTGGAAGACGGTCCAACAGGACTGTATGATACTATTAAGATGGAGGAACGAGAGAAGAAGAGAAAGGGTTTGTGTACAACGATCGACGAGAATGGCACTGAAACCTTTGCGCAACGGTCGTATTCAGAGGAATCCTCAGGAGGAGACTATGCGTAAAAGACCTTTGACTGAGTGTGAAACTATCAAAGTGCCCATGTAGAGTTGTGTGCATCCCGTCTGATCAATTGCATAACACGATTAGGATTGTGTAACAACATCAATTATTTACTGCTTCTGGTGACAGTCCCTCCGGATATTGTCAAATCAAGTAGCTTCAAGCTTTTGCAGTAGAAAGGCGCTCGCTGGCGTTTGTTCATCTTCAAGTGAGAGTATTGTGAAAGATTTGTTGAGATAAATGTCTATTCATTAACAGTATTTATCACTGTATCAGAAGCCGACTCATATCGTATTCAGGGACTATGTGTAAATGTATTTTAACAAAAAAAAAAGAAGAACAATTATAATGTATGCGTCTTTTAATGTAATCTGTGTTCCTTTCGCCAGAGCTGTGCTGCTAAACTCAATATGCAATACTGTGTGTCACACTGCAGTTTTAGAGAGAAAAATGAGATGGAAATGAAATCTTGTTATTTGTTTGTTTATTTTGGATGATGTACTTCTGGAATGCATAGCCTCGGTGTATGATCTGCGACTGTACATACATGTATATTCATGTACATAATTAAATCAATATTATGTGAATGATACTGTTGATGGAAATGATTTATTTAGGCAATAAATCAAATTATTTATTGCGGTATATGGCAATTTTATTTTCCTCTGCAGATGAAGGATTCTACACTAACAAAACGACCATTATAATATGATCATACTTAATAAATATGGTTACATTTATAAAAAGTAAGTTTTCCACGTATAAATGATTTTATTTTGTCTTTGAACATATTAAAACGATCTAAAATTAAACTCCTGAAGGCCTACATTGTGAATCCTATTAGTAAGCAGCCGAAAGTGAATATATAATAATATAAAGAAAGTAATTTCTCCGAATTAAAAACACATTTGGAGCAAAACATAATAGTAATTTCATGTAGGTTCCTGAGGTTGATATTATGTGTAAAATAAACACTTTATCAAAGCATTTACGCTTCTCCAAAATGCAAATCTTTGCATTCAATGTTAAATAAACATTGCCAAAAGAATCATTCAGGTGCAGTGAGGTGGAAGCAATGAATGCGCCCAAATTGGTCGACGAAAAGTGTTGAAAATTCAGAAAGCCAGAGGAACAAATCCATGCAAAAAGAAATGCATCCTAATCGTTCTTCGACACAGCATGTGAGCATCCGAGGCGTTCAGTCGGTGTCTAAATAAGGTGGGGTGAAGATGTGAAGTGCCAAATAAACTTCTCGGCGAATAGCAGGACTTCTGGGAGGAGCCTGGCTGCCAGGAGGGTGAGGTACCATCTCAGCATCTCTCCTGAGCCAGCGAGGGAGTTGTGCACTTGCCATTGCTGGGGACTGAAAGATGCTTAAAATGATTAAGGACAGAAGTCGCGCAATTTAAAAGAAATTCGGCCAGAAATGGATTCAAGGTGATGGAGAGAGCTAAACTTCTTCCTTGAGCCCCAGGACGAGTGGGATTGTTGCTTTTTTTTCAGGCTGGTGAGTAAAACATTTTTTTAATATGATGGATTATTTCAATTTGGTAAATTTAGCTAGTTTAGTAGTATTAGTTGTGGCAGCATGTCAACATCAAATGCGCAATTCTGAACATCATGCCGTATGTGAAAATCCCTCAAAGTGCGCATTCTTCTTTTTCTTCTTTTTTTTACATTTGTCTTAAATATTCCAACAAGAGTGAAACGTTTAAAGACAGCAGCTCTCAGTTTGTTACAGTGACAATCAGTTACTTTCACTTGCCAGAACTTCATGTACTGATATGATTTTATTTGTGGACACAGAAGTCTGCCTCATGAATCAACCTGCTTGACTGCCCCTCTGCACCGCCAGCATGCCAGTCCTGGACCGAGAGCCCTCCAAAGATTTAGGGGGCGGAGATGTAAATATCTTATGTCTGATTTATATGGATACAGAATTCAATTCACTGGACCATGCATTAGAGAAATCCTGTTTCGCAATCAATTAGGATTGTAAAACAACAAATTAAAGTAAAGAATATTAACAAGAGTAAGACATAAAAGTGGCTTTTTATTTTAAAACCCAGGAAGGATTAATTGATGTATGAGATTTTATAAGAACAACTGATGTATGCTATTTTGACATTTTAATTGATGTTTCTCTTATTCTGTGTCTTTTTGTTCAGAAGTTGTTGTTGTTGTCTCAATCCAAAAGTACAATTATTTATCTATAGTATTTTCAGGGTAAAGTGATGGAATGCATGTGTCAGAGGACACTCAGAAGTTTTAAGATGATGTGTAGTAATTAGAGTTTGCTGAGTGTTTTTATCCCCCACGCTGTTCAGGGTCTGCCGAAGCTGCCGCTCCCCACCCTGAAAGAAACACTGGACACGTACCTGAGGTGCATGAAGCACCTGCTCACAGAGGAACAGTTTAATAAGACCCAAAATATGGTGAAGCAGTTTGGAGCCCCTGGAGGAGTGGGGGAACTACTACAGAGCAAACTCGTGGAGAGGAGGGAAAACAAGGCAAACTGGGTAATTAAAATGGTCTGGTCAAAATTCACATAATATTGAAGTGTGCAAGCAATTTCAAAATACCAAAAGAAATAGTTTTCAACTAGCAACACTATGATAGATTGAAACCTCCAGGTGATTATTCCACACGTGCTTTTATTTTAAAGTTCTAACAAACTCTTCAGTAAATAACACTGTGGTAAGAATAAATAGTTTTCAAGGGCCAAGCAGTGATTTTTTTGTATATAAATAATTTATATACATAATTGAAAAGTTTGAGTTATAGATGAAAAAAACCTTTTGTGTGACCATAAATCACATTATAGTTCTGTTTTACACCAGTGTTCACAAACAGTACTGACGTAAACAAACCTTTTACACCATTGGAAAACATTTACAGAATTATAGAGCCTCTTTGTGCTGGATGTAGAGCTCTCCCTGTACTCACCATTAGATTATTATTCCTATTAAATTTGACCTTTAAGTGAATCCCTCTGTTTCCTGCTGTAGGTGTATGACTACTGGCTGAATGACATGTACCTGAACAACAGACTGGCTCTGCCCGTCAACTCCAGTCCTGCGATGGTCTTCCCGCAGCAGAACTTCAGGGCTCCCATCGACTCTTTAAGGCATGGGACGCTGCACAACGAGACAAATGAGTCATAAGAAAAACCTCACAGTGTCACACAATAAGACAGGAAGAACAGATATATTGTCATCCAGTCGCTGAAGTGATCTTTCGTTCAGCATTGTCCCTTGTTACCCCCCCCCCCAAAAAAAAAAAACACACACACACTGTAAAAGAACAAGCTGTAACTGCCATGCATTGTAAAAATCTAAAAGTTTCGCACTTCACAGAAAACCATTGTTTACTACAGCATGACGACTTGAGAAATGATAGTGAACTGTATCAATTACTCAGACACGGACCAGCTTTGATCGATTATAGAAACCTGAACACTTCCTTGCTACACACTGACAGATAGGGTCATTACCAGAACACCCTGAGGGCTGAGAGGCCAGACCAGGCCACTGGTGGCAAGGTTAATAGACCAGGAAGTCTGTGGTTTGGTTAAGCGGCATTGATCTGGGACTGGCTCCTTAACCACATGATTTACATAGAGCATTTATGCTGTTAAGTGTGACCCAGTAGCTACAAAATAAATCAAGAATTAGGCCAAGTGCAGAGAATTAATACTATGAGAAGGAGTGACCAAGTGCAAGTGTGTGTATATTGTTGTGTGTTGTGTATCTAATAATGCAATATTTTTTTTTCCTAGGTTTGCTGCACATTTAATTTCTGGAGTTTTGGAGTACAAAACTCTTCTTGATGCGTAAGTGAATTCACAGGGAGAGCACAAATAGTTGACAGTATGTGCAAAAAAAGGTGTAACAGCTGTGTGTGTTCATCCGTGTGTCTGTGTGTGTGTGTGTGTAGACGTGCCCTGCCTATGGACTATGCCCGGGGCCAGCTGGCTGGAACCCCTATGTGTATGGAGCAGTACTATCGCCTCTTCACTTCCTACCGCCTACCGGGGCCTGAGAGGGACACACTAGTGGCCCAGGAGAGCAGCGTGATGCCAGAACCAGAACACATCATTGTGGCTTGCAAAAACCAGGTCAGACAAAGAGGGATGGAGAGATGCTTAGTTGTTGTGGAGATGGATCAGTTTAGATGTGAGCTCAGCAATGACAGAAGTGGACCTCTCATCTGTGTTGGCTTATAAATTGAGCCAAGTTAAGTTAATAATTCATTCTTGACTTTGAAAATATTAGTTTGACCAAACAATCCCAAGTCAAGGTCAATTTGCTATATTTTTTTTCCAGAAATTTCAACCATATGATACAGTCTTCATCAGATGGTCAGGATTTGTGAGGATCTAAAATGAACTTTCCTGTATATAAGCTAACACAGAGGAGAAGTCCTGACATTGCTGAGCAGATTACCTCCCAATAGACACAGAGCAGAGAACAATGTTTACAGTGACAGTTTCACATATTTACAGCGAGAATTAGACAATACATCTGTGCCCCTGTCACAGCAGAACATATGGATCATCACTCACTTGTGTCTGACAGTAAACAGGCTCCGCAGGCACAATGTTAACTTATCTCCCGATGAGTAATTAACAGCCCAGCACACCGGCAAGTCCTATGCATTGAGTTAATTATCTATAACATTTGCACATCAGCCTGTAGCCATCAGCTCTGTAATCCCACAGAGGTTCTATCACTTTTATCAGAAGAATCAAAGCTGCTTAAGTATTAAAACAATTAAAGATGCTACTACCACCAATAAGAGATGATGGATCAACTTTGTCATTGCGCCTAATTTGCAATAGTTTGTAAATATAAGGACAAGAACCACAACTTCAGATTCATCTAGATTTAGTTAAGCATTAATATTAGACACACTCACTCTTTTTGCCATCATTCTCAGAGGTCATAATAAAGCTGTACTCACCAAGTTGGTTGCTGGTTTTGGAAACACATCAATGTGGCTGCAACCGAGTCTGATGGGACAAGAAAACAGAGGAGTTAGACAATCGTACAGGTTTTAAAGAGATCCTCAGGTTTCGCCGAATTTATTTGGAAGAGAAAACAAAGGCAAACATTGACATTTTCACACAAACTGTCTGTTGTAAACATCTGACATCCAACTGACTGGCTAAACCTTTCCGTGCATGTAAAGTTTTTCAGTGCAAAGAGGGATAATAACCAACATTTCAGGTGCACTCACTTCATCTAGTCCAAATAAAGTGGTTTGGATAATCTGTGTGAGCTGTTGGCCAGTCAACAGACTGGTGTCTTATCATGCATTCATTTCCTTTGACTATGCACATCGAATCAGATATATTAGATTGGATTACACTGATGGGATGGATTAATATTAAAGAAAAAAACCTGAAGGACCAGTGCACTGAAACATTTTGTGTCCAATCTGAACCTCCGTCCAGTTCTTTGTGTTGGACGTGGTGATCAACTTCCGCCGACTGAATGAAAGAGATCTGTTGACTCAGCTGGAGAAGATTGCCAAGATGGCTGCCAGTGAAGAGGAACAGCTCCCACCTATAGGTCTTCTCACTTCAGAT